ACAGGGCCCGGAGATCTTGTTAGTAGCACACCAAGCCAAGCCACTGCCATGTGATGCCCTGGGTTGGCGGGGATGCCAGCCAACAGGTGTCGGAGCATCACCGGCAATTTGGGGCCCTGGGGCTGCATGTGGCACAGGGATAGGCTGGTTCTGGGGAGACCAGCTACATGCTGTTTCCCCCGCGGCCAGAACACAGCGAGACGAAGCAGGCTCCCACTCCAGCAGCCGGGACTTTGTTTAGACAGGAGGAGGAACTGGCCGTCACTAAAGATTAACGTTCAGACCTAACTAATTTGGACTAATTGGAGGGAGGTGAGTCTGAATCACTGAAAACTCCGAATTAGACCCTATTTTTAAATGAAATATAGTTTTTGCTTTCAAGCCCGTAGAGTGACTCAAACAAGGGTGCCTTAGTAAAGTGAATAAGAGTGATAATTAGCATCTTGTCTCTTTGGAGGGAAATGCTGGAAAAAATACTTTTTTTCCCCCTCCTGCATTGAAAGGGCACAAGCAAACCTCCTGTCGCATGCCTGCACGCTCCTGCATCTGCCGGGACCGGGTTCAAGGACAGGTTTCGGTGCCCAAGGGAGGTGCTGGGTCTTTCTCTCTGTGCTTCAAAAGGGTATCGGAGTTGGTCTGAACCCAGAGAGCGCCAGCCAACGACCTCCCCCTTTCCTTCAAGGCCCCTGCGTTTATTTGCCTTACCGCTCAGCATTTTAAACAAAAGGAGAACCCTCTAAGCTCTCATGTCCTCGTCCGTGTCATTTATTACCACCATGCGGCACGGCTGGGGTATGAGGCCAATAAATCATTTGGACGGGAAGTGGCTACAGGCTGGATTAATTTCATTATCATCCTTAAGCAGATAGGTGTCTAGCACGGCCCATGTCTCTAGCGAAGACGGATGCTTGGCCCTCCTGACAGCCCTCCCCTTGACTGCAGGCAGCTGGGGTGGTTCTGGGTTTTCCCTGCCTTGGGGCTCTGCTTCGCTTTCCCCTGTCAGGGGCAATGAGTGGCCATACCCACTTCCTCTGGGGCCCACCTCATGCCAGAGTTGCTACTGAGAAGTCAAACTATCTGGGTCCAATTCTTGGCTCCGCCAGTGATTGGCTTGTACTATACCACCCCTAGCCTCAGTTGACCCACTTATTTATAGTGGGTAAATACAACATTAGAGCATTACCTTGCAGAGAGCCCTGGTGGCACAGTGGTTACCTGTTGGGCTACGATCTGCAAGGTCAGCAATTCAAAACCACCAGCTGCTCCTTGGGAGAAAGAAAGGGCTTACCACTCTCGTTCACAGTCTTGGAAACACTCAGGGGGCGTTCTACTCTGTCCCAGAGGGCTACTATAAGGTGACCAGATGTCCCACTTTTGGCCAGACAGTCCCGATTTTTAACAAATTTTCCTTACATCCTGCGGCATTTTTTAAAAGTCCCAATTTTTTTAAAGAATGCACGACAAGCTAGGGTATACAGTTTTCGGCTGCCATGTGGCTATTTCGCCAGGATATGAGTTTTATCAATGGTGTCCCGCTTTACCAATGTTAAAATCTGGTCACCTTAGGCTACTAGCAGTGAGTTGTTTTTGTTGGTTTTTAATTCCTTTGTAGAAAGAAAGGCATGGTCGTCTGTTCCCATAAAGATTTTACAGTCTTGGACACCTCTGGGGTTCGGTTCGGTTCTGTCCTACAGGGTTACTGTGTGAGTGGGGATGGGCGCAGTTTTACTTCATCGGCCTGCTAGAGGGTTGAGCGGGCTGAAGTTGAAGGGGCAGGCTGAGGACAGCACTTGGCGCAGGGTCAGAGCGCCACCTTAGAACACCAGTTGCCATCCAGCCCCGCGACTCCTGGCGGCCTCATGCGTCCCGAGCAGACTGTGCTCGCTCCATAGGGTTTCAATGGCTGCTTTCGTGGGAGGTAGACTGCCAGGCCTTTTTTTCCAAGTGCTTCGGGGTAGATTTGAACGGCCAACCTTTCGGTTATCGGCCGAGCATGTTACCTGCCTGTACCACCCACAGGCTCCTAAAACCCACTGCCGTCAAGTCTACTCCAAGGCATATTGATTTTCAGACCCCACCAACCTTGATGGAAGCACACAGTCTCCCCCACACCAAACTAAATCAAACCAAACCCCAAACTCCCAAACTCACTGCCAGTGAGTCGATGTCCACTCGTAGTGACCCTAGAGGACAGGTGAGAATGGCCCATGTGAGTTTCCGGTACTGTAACTCTTTATGGGAATAGAAAATCTTACCTTTCCCCTTCTGGTCTTGAACTGCTGATGTTGAGGTTAGCAGTCCAATGCATAATTCATTGTACCACCAGGGCTCCTCCAGGGATTCCTAAGTGCTCCACACATGTTGGCTATTATTGGCTCTCACCCTTACCCTGACCCTCAAGTTTCAGCCAGCATAAAGTCTATCTGCTCTCCATGCACATATGTTCTCCACATCCTGGCAGACTTCCCATGACTGACACCCCAGCCAGAGGTGGGCTTCCCAGACAGATGCTCCAAAGCACAGCACTCAGAATACCACAAAGTACTGCTTTTTGACTGGTCTCTGCCTTTCTGCCCACCAGGGCC